CCCCACCGGGATTCGAACTCCGACCTCTCGTTCGTCCAGTCCGTAGCCAGTCACTACACCGACTGCGCTATCCCGGAGCACATACTTTCTACTCTTGTTTTCATGAAGGGGTCGTGCTTGTCCGTCTACTTACAAATCTGCCGGTTAATGGGAATGAAAGTTAACATGAGAAATATCGGCCGCAGGTGGGACGAGGAACTTAATTTGATACGAAACTGCAGTCTAACGTTATAATCTGTCAGAATCTTCATAAACATTTCAGCCCATAGAGAACGACACCGCCACATGTGATCATTTTCTCAAGAGCTGTATTTTTGTTACAAGGAAAGCCATTAACAGTAGTCACTAAAAGGTAAAGCTATCCCTCTAACAGGCCGTGAAAGCCCATAGGGTTGTGATACATCGAGGCTCCCACATTTTCTAGACAGTCGGCTCACAGATGGCGGTAAGGTTGTCAGCCTTACGCGCCGGCCGCCCTTTGCCCCCCAAGAATATTCCTGGTACTCATTTCTGTTAGAGGCTGAGTCGACCCCAGGGCCATAGTGCGGCTGGAAGGATTAGGTCAATTGAAAAACAAAAATCCACCTCATCGGGACTCGAACCCGCGACCTTCCGTCTTGTAACATGGTGCATCAACCAAGTACGCTACCGCGTGCCCCCCTATATAAGTACTTGATGAAATGTAAGGAAATTCGATTGTTCTCAGTATTCAAATAATGTACCGTGTTGTTTAGTGTTGCCAACACGAGATTTAAAGCGCAATAAATGGATATCAAGACTGCGTACTGCGTACTGCGTACAAACACGTAAGTAAAGATAACATAAGGCCGCGCCATAGCTCAAGCGGTTAGTCGCTGGCTTCCCACCGCGGCGGCCCGGGTTCGATCCCGGGTCTGGTCAAGCGGGATTTGTGGTGGACAAAGTGGCGCTGGGGCGGGTTTTCTCTGAGTACTTTGGTTTCCTCTGCCAATTTTTATTCTACCAAATTCTCCATCATCATAATCACCCGGGGCAGGTTACAAATAGGCAAATCAGTGGCCGCCGTGCCGAGTGGACCCAGTAGGATTTCAGCCCCCACTACTTACTTACTCATGGAGCTGAGCCCTTCTGGAGGAGCCGCCAATTCTGCAGCTACTCAAGAATTTCCCAGCATTTTATGGAACCCGAAGATTCAATACCGTGTTCACAAGAGCCCTCCAGTGGTCCCTGTCTTGAGCCAGATCAATCCCATCAATACCATCCCATCCTATCTCTCAGAGATCCATTTTAATATTGTCCACCCATCTACGCCTTGGTCTTCCCAGTGATTTCTTTCTTTCTGGCTTTCCCACCAATATCCTATAAGCATTCCACGTCTCCCCCATTCGTGTTACATGCCCTGCCCACCTCATCCTCCTTGACTTGATCATTCTAATTATACTTAGAGAAGAGTACAAGTTATGAAGCTCCTCATTGTGCAGTTTTCTCCAACCTCCTGTCACTTCATCTCTCTTCGGTCCAAATATTCTCCTCAACACCCTGTTCTCAAATACCCTCAGTCTATGTTCCTCCCTTAATATCAGAGACCAAGTTTCACACCCATACAAAACCACAGGCAAAATTATAGTTTTGTATAGTCTAATTTTTATGTTTTTGGACAGCAGACGAGAAGACAAAAGGTTTTGGACTGAATGGTAGCAAGCGTTACCCGAGTTCAATCTTGTAATTTCCTTCTGAATCAGGTTTCGATCTGTTATCTTTGTTTCCAAATATCTGAACTGTGCCACATTTTCAAAACATTGTTTCCTATGTTTATGTCATGATATTGCCCTGCATTTTTTGTGACGAGACAGCAACATATACTTAGTTTTCTCAGTCTCCTGCTGGTGCGATGCCACCTCCAGCCCATCTGACCTCCTGTACTCCCGCTAAATCTAACTTATATTTTAAGATTTCTTCTGCCACTGCCCTGAGCGAACCTGCCCTATACAAACTTCGTACATTCCAAGTGCCAAATCTCATATACATTTTCATTAGCTTATGTCGTTTATCCACGGAATCCGTCCAGGTCCGAGGCTCTGTGTTCATTTTCGTAACAAAGTAATTTTTTACGGCGAGGAGTTGTTAGCACCACGCCCAACACCCAAGCTGGAGGGCCACCCCTTGTCGGATGTCCGCGGCTGCTTATTCAATATATTCACAGCTTCCCTCCAAAACTGGAGGGCGTCTCCTCCATCCTGTAACCGCACCATGCAAGAACACCAGCAATGTTGTTCATATACATTCTTAATTATAATGTACTACCAGTAAAGGAACTGTACAGGTATTACCAGTTTACGAAGGATGGAAAACAATTGACGCCAGCACCAGCAGGCGCTAAGAACGACATCTGGTCTTTCTTAGGAACAAGCAAGCTACTTGTAACTTGTAGACCCAGAACAGAACAGGAAGTAACCCCCTGCGTTTTCTGGGAATTTCAATGCTTAACTTCGGCGGTACAACTCTTTGAAAATTTGAGACTTGACAGATACGACTCGCAATAATTTTCGGAGAGGCGTGCCGAGCGATCGTTAGTGTACCTTTATTTGTTTGAGAGCTGTCAGAGGGACCATCTAGTACTTAGGCCCAAATTTACTTGGATCTCGTTAGGGATTGGCGGAATGTAAATGAGAGTAACACCCCAATTTTAGGTTCAGCCAATCAGCGAAATTCAGAGGAGAGGAAACCGGGCGTTCTCGGAACCGTCAGGACTTCTGCCTCTCCGGAGAAGTCAGTCGTCTTAGTGAGTAACAGGAGTGGCATCGCGACATTCGGACCTCCAGGACATTAAATCGGTGTTGGTCGAGTCCGGTACACAAATTCAACAGTGCTACAGCCTTGTAATAGGTAATTCTAGTTCACATCTGCGGTAAAGAGCGACAGTGTTGAGTGAAGTGTGTGCCAAGTGTTCTCTATCTCCTTGTGCGAGCAAGGCCCAGAAGTCGCCCTGAGACAGAATCTTGTCCTACCAACTGAGCAGTCGAAACTCCAAACGCCCACCTATCCACGTCCCCACTTTTGTTTACCCCGTTCCAAATTCGTGGATTGCACCCCACTGGCGCCCATACCTATTCAAATTCAGAGTAAATCCCACCCCCTACCCTGAACCAGACAGCAACGAGGAAGCGGCGGATCAAAGTGGAGGAGCTNGGTTCAGCCAATCAGCGAAATTCAGAGGAGAGGAAACCGGGCGTTCTCGGAACCGTCAGGACTTCTGCCTCTCCGGAGAAGTCAGTCGTCTTAGTGAGTAACAGGAGTGGCATCGCGACATTCGGACCTCCAGGACATTAAATCGGTGTTGGTCGAGTCCGGTACACAAATTCAACAGTGCTACAGCCTTGTAATAGGTAATTCTAGTTCACATCTGCGGTAAAGAGCGACAGTGTTGAGTGAAGTGTGTGCCAAGTGTTCTCTATCTCCTTGTGCGAGCAAGGCCCAGAAGTCGCCCTGAGACAGAATCTTGTCCTACCAACTGAGCAGTCGAAACTCCAAACGCCCACCTATCCACGTCCCCACTTTTGTTTACCCCGTTCCAAATTCGTGGATTGCACCCCACTGGCGCCCATACCTATTCAAATTCAGAGTAAATCCCACCCCCTACCCTGAACCAGACAGCAACGAGGAAGCGGCGGATCAAAGTGGAGGAGCTAGGCAAGGCCAACGCAGCCGTGGATACCACCCAGCAGCAGTAACGACCACTACGGGGAAGGCAGGTGACCGACCCAGAAACCGGCGGGCAGCGATCGACACATGACANACATTCTTAATTATAATGTACTACCAGTAAAGGAACTGTACAGGTATTACCAGTTTACGAAGGATGGAAAACAATTGACGCCAGCACCAGCAGGCGCTAAGAACGACATCTGGTCTTTCTTAGGAACAAGCAAGCTACTTGTAACTTGTAGACCCAGAACAGAACAGGAAGTAACCCCCTGCGTTTTCTGGGAATTTCAATGCTTAACTTCGGCGGTACAACTCTTTGAAAATTTGAGACTTGACAGATACGACTCGCAATAATTTTCGGAGAGGCGTGCCGAGCGATCGTTAGTGTACCTTTATTTGTTTGAGAGCTGTCAGAGGGACCATCTAGTACTTAGGCCCAAATTTACTTGGATCTCGTTAGGGATTGGCGGAATGTAAATGAGAGTAACACCCCAATTTTAGGTTCAGCCAATCAGCGAAATTCAGAGGAGAGGAAACCGGGCGTTCTCGGAACCGTCAGGACTTCTGCCTCTCCGGAGAAGTCAGTCGTCTTAGTGAGTAACAGGAGTGGCATCGCGACATTCGGACCTCCAGGACATTAAATCGGTGTTGGTCGAGTCCGGTACACAAATTCAACAGTGCTACAGCCTTGTAATAGGTAATTCTAGTTCACATCTGCGGTAAAGAGCGACAGTGTTGAGTGAAGTGTGTGCCAAGTGTTCTCTATCTCCTTGTGCGAGCAAGGCCCAGAAGTCGCCTGAGACAGAATCTTGTCCTACCAACTGAGCAGTCGAAACTCCAAACGCCCACCTATCCACGTCCCCACTTTTGTTTACCCCGTTCCAAATTCGTGGATTGCACCCCACTGGCGCCCATACCTATTCAAATTCAGAGTAAATCCCACCCCCTACCCTGAACCAGACAGCAACGAGGAAGCGGCGGATCAAAGTGGAGGAGCTAGGCAAGGCCAACGCAGCCGTGGATACCACCCAGCAGCAGTAACGACCACTACGGGGAAGGCAGGTGACCGACCCAGAAACCGGCGGGCAGCGATCGACACATGACAACTAAGAGGACAGTTATAAGTGGCGCCAAACAAAGGGGCCACACAGAACACATAGTTAGCAGCAGTTAAAATCCGCAACCTGAGGACACTCCATGCCGTGGTGACAAGGGACCCACCTAACATGGACTAGTGACTAAGCGAATTTAAATTAAAAAGAAAATAACATACGTACACTCGTATCTGACCTTATTTTATCCCTCGTTTGTTGCAGTTGGCAGCGAGACAATGATGGCGCCGAGCGTGTACCAACCGCAGCAGCACGACCACTTAGTGGCATCCAACGTGGGCCATAAACAGTCGCCACTACCGCCACCTAGCTTTGTGCTGACATCTAGTAGTAGAGAGGAGGAGTCTCCGGGCAGTCCTCATAGTCTTATTATGGCTGATGATGTGGATTCGGCTATAGGCGACAGTGGCTCACCGGACATGAATGGAAAAAGGTAACGTAGATCTATTACTAATGTTATATTTTAGCGTCCTGTTGCACTGATTTAAGTCCATGATTTATTTAATCCGTCTTGCAGTGCATACACTCATTTAACTCCTTCTCTCCCTCGCACTACATGTTTCGGCATAATAATGCCATCTTCAGGTGCTTACTTATCCACGTCAAACCAGTTCATTGCATGCCATGTTCACACATTAAAATAACTAAAATATGTATCTATCATATACATTGTCAAACGTTAAAATATTAAAATTGTTCAGGATACCACATCGCTACGTCGCCCCTCACTACGTCAGTCACGCCCATTCTCCTTTGTTGGAGCACTCCTTCACTATCTTGTGTGTTGTGCTTTTGTTGTGTCGTGCTCCTGCGACTGCGTGTGTTATACTGAACAGTATACTGAACCATAACAGCTATAATAACGATGAAAAGGTTTGAAATATTGGGGGAATTACCGAAATGTAACACAGAGACACGAAGTGAGCACATGCTGTTGGAAAAATGGCGCCGATAGACTTGCTGGACGCAGGGTTGCCACAAACCTTTAATGTGTAAAAAAAAGCGCAGTAAAACGAGGAATTCCATTATGATGAAGTGCACCAACCAGCGGCATTTGGGCCCCATGCGTCAGAGCGAAATGAAATGGACCTTACCTGTTAGATAATCCGGCCCGTTCTCAGAATTCTGATATGGGATGTAAAGTCCGCCTGAAGGCGTCCTGCGCCATGAGGCGACATGTGTATCTGTAGATAAACATGAGTGCCCTTGAGATCACATCCCGCTGCGTGTGCGCGCACACACACACCTCTCGTCAATAACCGACACGTCATTTGCATACGGCGGCTTCTAACTCAGCATCATTTACATTTAAGTAGGTAGGCAGGCGAATATCGCCCTTGTTGAGAGGTTGTGCAATTCCTGGCGATACAGTTGCTCTTAGGGCGAGACCACACCAAGGAAACTGGCAACCGCAACGCAATCGCAATTTGCGAGATAACAATTCTCGGAAATTGCTGTTGCGTTGCGGTTGCCAGTTTCCTTGGTGTGTCCTCGTCCTTATACTTAAGAAGGACGAAAGCCATTTAACTAATATATAGCTGAAAATCAGTTCTCATTGCCAAGAAAAATTGTGCCGTTACTCAGTTATTTACTTACGAAAGCAGTCACTACCCAGCAATATTCATTCGTCTGTTCATCAGTGGCCCTACAGCCCTTTGTTTGTCCCTGGCCTCTTCTTCAGTTTCAATATCTTTTTTTACACAGCCGGTAGGACTCCTTGGACGAGTGATCAGCCCTTCGCTATGCCGCTACCTACACAGACAGAGAGGAAACACACATAGACATCGCATGGTTTGAGTGGTGTTCGAACCCAAGATCCCAGCGTTCGAGCGAGTGAAGACAGTTCATGCCTTAGACCGAGCGGCCACTGTGATCGGCTCCCGGCGCTATAGAACTGCATGTTCGTATCAGAACACGTACTGCATCACGAGTTAGCACTTTGCTGACCTTGGGTTCCACGGAAAGAGTCCGTGTACACTGCACATTAGTTTGTGTTCCTGCTTCCAATGGCGGAGGATTGCTGTTCGCATAAAGCTGACAGCTCACATCCCAACAGACACACAACTTGTTACACTGCTGTAAAGAAGAATTTGTCTGCGTCATCGGCTTCTTGCTTGTTTACTGCTTCCTTAACGATGGGCTCAGTATCTCAGACTACACAGTGTCGAATGTTACGGCAGTTTGCGAATGATGAATTGAAAATGATGTGGAAGGAACCGGTCTCTATCTAATTAGCTTTAGTCCGCAAGCGAACTATACCGACCGAGCGACCGCCGCTTATCGGCCAAGTTAGTGCCAACTTTAGCGGATAGAGGGTGTCGCGTGGTCAGCGCAACGAATCCCCACGACCGTTAATCTCGGGTTTCTAGACCGGAGCCGCTATTTCAATGAAATAGCTCTTCAATTATCATCACGAGGCTGAGTGGACTCCGTTCCAGACCCACTACGTCTCAGAAAATCTGGTGGGGCCGAAAATCGAACCCAGGACCTTAGGATCCGTTGGTAGGAACCATTAGACCACAGGGGCGGTCTTGAAACTGAGGAAAACTAAAAAAAACTCGGAATATCCGGTGTCCTGTTCGAGATTCGAAGTAATAACCTCCGGAATATGGGAGAGAAGTTACTCGGCAACGTATCGTTCTTGTTTTGCTCTTTATCATCCTTCGCTTTTATTTTCGTCATACGTTACTCCCTTCATCGTCTTAATTTTGTCGTCCATATCCTTGCTATCCTGTTTTTCGCCTTTGTCATTTGTGGTCTTGCTACTCCTCGCCCTTCGCACGGCCGTGTTTGGCCCCCCTCTACTGTTACAACTTTATAAACCCATAATAAAACAGGCCTCAGGGTTCCGTTTATGGGGAGAGTCCGCTGCAAAGCCCGTACCTGCAAACCAGAAGTTATACGACACAAAATCACGGTCTAAAATCCGTTTTCCGCGAGGGATTCGAACTCCTAGACCAGTGTGCGGCAACCTTTTTCTACTCGCGGCACACCATGAGGTATCCATGACTCAACACGGCACACCAAAATGTTATTCCCCTCAAAAGCGCTTGATATCAGACAATTAATAAAAATACGTAAGGCGATCAACTTATTACTATAATATTATTATATTATTGTTTTATTATCATTAAACAGAAATCGACTCGTGCATTTATTAACAATTAATGAACTTTGATTCACCGTAGAGTAATTCTACTCATACCTTCAATGTAATACTTGCGCCTGCGTAGCTGCACTGATCCGTGGTGGAATCGCTGACAACGCAAGTCTCATTTCTTCATCGATGGATTTGAGCCGCTCCCTCTTTGATGTCTTAATTTCAGTTAACGTCGAGAAGCCCAGTTTACTCAAATATGTAGTTGAAAATGGCAAGAACACATTAACTGCCATCTCGGAGATAGCCGGGTATCCACTCATTATTGCCAACCAAAACGTATCCAAAGGCACTTCGAGAAGTTTTAGTTTCAATGTTCTGTTTGCTTTTAAATCTGCGAGTTCCTCTTGTATATTAATCGGAAGATGTTCTGAATTCACAACAAATGGATCATGAACCCAGTCGAAATCTTGTACACTCTCTCCAAAATACTTATTGAATTTCTCCTGCAGCATTTCTAAACGTTCTTTAATTGTGTCCATCACCACTTTATTGCCGTCAGCAAGTGGCCATACAGTCGGGAACATCTCAAACGACCCATTTGTAATTCTCTAACTAGCAACCAAAATTCCCGGCGGAGGTCGTCGAATTTTTAAGGGCGGAAAAATTCAGGGAACAAGTCCTCCGGGAGGGACTTTAAGCCGTGGGACCCGTGTCGTAGCTTGACGGCACGTAAAAGAACCTCATATCTCCAAAGGAGGTCACTGAACCAAATTACGGACGTTTCCCGCCAAACAGCAGTCTTTAATACCTCCGGTAGATGGGGGAAGCATTATAGACACCTCTCAGCTAGTAGACCCGGTCTCGCTGGCTGGGCGGGACTGATGGTAAGCACCAGTACCGGTAGGATATAGAGACTGGTAGAAATCATACAGGGAAGCACAATGGACCAATACAGGTCTAAGTGCATGGGGAAACCCACCCTCTCCAATAACTAACTAACTAACTAGACTAGACTAGTTACTGGTCCATTGTGCGTCCCCCTTTAATTTCTGCTCTCTACTGCCAACGAGGTCGGCCCTCGCTACCTGATATTTCCCCCATCTACCAGAGGCATTGGAAACTACTTGGGCGGGAAATGTATTGCCTAATTTTGCTCAGAGGTCTCCTAGAGACATGAGGATCTTTTACGTGCCGTAAATCTACGACACGGCACCCACGGCTTAAAGTTCCCTGATTTTTTCCGCCCTTAAAAATTCCACGACCTCCGCCGGGTTTGAACCCGCGTACCGTGAGTCATGAGGTGGGAACGTTACACCTAGACTACGGAGGCCGCTTCAGGAAAACCCATGCTAATCCCTGCAGTTTTAGGGAAAAGCACGTACACAGAACATGCGGCAAGCATATCAAAGAAGCTGCGTAGATGCGAAAAAAATAGAAATAAATCAGTAATGAAAACTATGATATAACAACAACTGTGAGTAAATAATTTTCGTTTAATTTCTTAGAATAGAACGTTACTGTGCATACAAAATCACATCATGTAATAAAGAATAAACAAGCATCGTCTTGTTTAATCAGTGCAGTGGCTGAGAATAAAATACAAGCAATACGGTAACTGAGATAAAATAAAACGAATAAAATTCGACAATTAATTTCTTACAATAGGTAAAAGTTCGCGTCACACCTTTCACCTTGTGACGGCTCATGGGTTGCGGAACACTGCGCTAGATCCCTGTATTCGATGAGATCAGTAAGGCCACCGGAATCCCTGTGTAAGGCAGTTACATGACGGCTGAAAACCGGAAAAAATTATAACGAATTGTTGAGGCCATTGCTAAGCAACGGTGCCATAAACACAGTGCCGCGGGAACACATAAACATGCAAAAATAGAGGAATTTTTCGAAGTGGTATTTTCTGTGCGGTTCGTGCTGAGGATATACTGTATAACGAGGATATTAGCCGGTACCAGGCAACGTGACTAGACTGCCATTGTAGCGGAAGCTACTAGAAATAGGGTATAATCTGCTGTACTGAGCCTGGATTGACAGAGGCCCTGTATATATTTTGTATACATCTATTAACATGTAAAATGTAAATATCCTTTATATTATGAGAAATTACTTACTACTGCAGACAATGACTTTGACAAAAGACAGACCCGTCCTCTTGTCAGAGAGGGCGCCCCACAAAAACAAGATCGAAACTGTCAAACAGTAATAAATATCTGGTCATAAAGCCCATATTGGGCTCGACACCAAGACTGACCGACTGACTGACTGAGTGACTGACCGACCGTCAGTCTCAGTGTGACTTTGACTTTACCAGGCAACGCCACCGCATGGAGGCGGGTTCGAATACCTCCAACGTTGCTCTGTGAGTCGTAGAAGGCGACGGAAAGGGCACCCAGTGGCTGGGGGTGTAACTGTGCCGCCCTATTCCTGGGGGTGTATAAATACAGGGATCTGGCCCACCAGGTTGGGGAGTCTCGAATCTGAGGCAGTAAAATATGGTCATTAGTCCCTCGGGACTCGGACCAGAGAATGACTGCGCTGGCGAGGACCAGCAGCAGCAGTTGTAAACGACAGATCCATCTTCTCTTCTGAGAGGACGCCCTTCGTCAACAAACCCGCAACTGTCTGTCAGTAATAAAAATCTGGTCTTGGACCCCAGATGAATGCTTGACATCAAGACAGGCTGGCCTACTGACTGTCGGCCGTAACGTAACTTTGAGTTACTAGGCAACGACTAGTGAGGACATAGCAATCTGAGAAGACGTGGTGTGTGCTGTAGTGATTTGTACGTAGTTTGTGTAGGTTAGTAAGAGCGTCATTGTAAAATGTAAAAAGGTAAAGCTGTCCATGTGCTTAACTAATTAAGCACTACGCCGTGAAGGCGTATGGAGGAGTGGATATTCACATCCACATTGTAGATCCGTCATTGTAATTATTTGTGATTACGAATTATAAAAATGTTCGATAAATCCAGTTACGAATCCAAACCCCGTGTCTAGTCACTAACACGTGACAGTTTGTAACTATTTATTCGTTGATTCATTCATCACTGGCTGTACAGCCCTTTGTTAGGCCCTGGCCTCTTCTTCAGTTTCGTAATCTTTTTTACACAGACGGTAGGACTCCTTGGACGGGAGATCAGCCCGTCGCAAGGCCGCTACCTGTACACAGCACAACACAAACACAGAATAAACGCACACAGACATCCATGCCTTGAGTGGGATTCGAACCCAAGATCCCAGCGTTTGAGCGAGCGGTGACAGTTCATGCCTTGGACCGTGCGGCCACTGTGATCGGCCTGTAACTATCTATGTCAGACCTAATTACTTGTATTCTAATTCTGTACATGTTTAATTCGCTGGGTTGAAGCACGTATGTTGCTTATTCTGTCAAATAACAAACAGCCTTTGTTTTTCCTGCAACAGTGTGCACGGTTGTCATGACTACGGGTTGAAGTTATGCGTTCATCCCAGTATTGTTACTGAACATACAGCTGTGTGTGCTGTGTCACTGTACGCTTATTGAACATTTCCATGTTCCACATTGCTGCGTGAGCCTCCAGGACCACTGTAGAGTCGCTGCTTCATTTGCTATACTGTGAACAAACCGTGGGCCTTCATAACTGGATGAAGACATGTTCAATTTGATTTGCAACTGAACTGGAACAGTTAATTCGACACCAATTAAATACTGCATTTCATTTCAACTAGTCCGAATGCTTTACTATGGGATGAATGGCCGGTGTTCGAATCCCGGCAGGAGGAAATTTAGTTTCCTTGCCATATCGGCTTTGGACCCTATCCAGAAACTACATCACGTTCTTTCCTCGAAGGTAGAATAACCGGAGTGTCAAGTTGACCTCTTACAGCTGTCTGGTATCGAAATGTATAATGGGATACTTGCCTCCACGTCTTTATACGCCTTTATGTCATTGTGTACGGGGACGGTTTTACAGACACCTTCCTCAGGGCAGTAACTTACGAGCTGTAAGCTGTTAATAAATCCAAACCTCGAGTGTAGTCACCAACACGTGACGATATGTTCGTCAAGAATCTGTCACCACAAAATACTTTCTTCGTTCACTGAAAATAAATGCCTCACCTAGAGTTCTGGTGACTGCTCTACTGGGAATGTTGAATGTGCCAAATATCAGCTGTTCGGTGTTGTAGCGTTCTTATGTTTGCTGTTTTGCATGGCGGTGCATGAAGCAGTCAGTGCTCCAGCATGTCTGACGGCGAGAATTACGAGTGTTACGGCGAGGGAGTGGAGTTGGAGCTGGAGAACACGTCAGTCAACACAGGGTAAGTCATCTAACGAGAAAGTATCCCATTCCAATCAGCAATTCTAGTGATTTTCTATATCCCCTAGACGTTTCCCCCAAGCCTCGGATTTTAGGTGAACTTCTGTTCAACCTATGAGGGAGGAGAGGAGCCGGGATAGCTCAGTCGGTATAGCGACTGGCTACGGGCTGAACGAACGAGAGGTCGGATTTAGAGTGTTGGTAGGGTCATGAATTTTCTCTTCTCCACGTCGTCCAGACAGGCTCTGGGGCCCACCCAGTCTCCTATCCAATGGATACTGGGGGTCATGCAGCCGGGGCGTGAAACTGACCACTCACCTTCAGCTAGTGCCGAGGTCAAGAAATTGTGGATCTGTACATCCACTCCCCCGTACGCCTCCATGGTGTTAGGGTGTTCGTTAAGGCACTGTTTGAAGCTGAGTGGCCAGCTTCGCGGCCCGGCCGCTTAATCCCCCAGGCAAAGAGATCCCGGTACCCATTGTATAAGAAGCTGCGGAGAAGAGAAAATTCTTGATCCTACCGGAACTCGAATTGCGACTCCTCGGTCGCCCATCCCATAGCCAGTCGCTATGCCGGCTGTCTCAATAAACTATTTCTGTTCCTCTCACTGTTCTTTTGTTAACGCTTTCTTCATCTGTTCCTCTTTTTGTCTCAGTCTCTCTCTTATGCTTTTGTGTAATCGTCCAACAGTAAGTACCTCAGCCCAATAATCCCTGCTACACAGCATGTTGACCCTTACAGGGACCGACCTGGCACTGGATGTCGCAGTCCGACGTCAAACCTCGGCCTGACACGTAACACGTGGCTTCGAACCAGCCTGAGGAGGACACCGCCCAGGTAATGCAGTGCAGTTCCAGCGTTGTCCCTTCCAACTCGCTGGCATATTTTATATTTCTTACTCGAGATACTTGTATAAACTTCACACCGTTCAATATAAATGCCATAGAATTACAACAGTAGTTCGGTGCAGGAATACAAGATCTCTTTTCCAATAACTCAATTATAAAATGCACATTTTTGACGTATTGTTTCTGTTTCAGCCCGCAGCACCAGGAGGTGTCGTCGCACCGGCGTTGGGGATCCTTTAGACAGTGAGTAGAATCTTTATTCTGCATGTGATGCCGTGGCCTTTGGGGACACAGGGTTCGGAAGTGCTTGCACCCTCGTCTTACGAGGGAGAGTCAGTAAACAGGCCACAGATGGAAGTTAAACAGCCGTAATGGACGTATTAGGTTTTCTGTGTGTATCACTAAGTAGCAGCACAGTCCAGCTTCATGACAGTGTACGTAGCATGCGCATGTTCGGGGGCTGGTTTCAGTAGTGGAAATGGCGACCGTACTTGAGGGATGTACTGCCGAAGAGCAGTATTCTTTAGTGCGGTTTTTTATGGGTAAAAGGATTCAGTGCAATGGATGTTCGTAAAGAAATATTTCCTGTTTACGGTTTGAAGTGTGTGTCGTGTAAAACGGTTCACAACTGGGTAGCAAACGTTTCCCTTATGACGAAGAGGTGGCTGAGACAACAGTCAGAAAACTTCTATACGCCGCGGGTTTCAACGCACTGGTAAAGCGATGGGAAAATTGCATCAATATTGGTGGAGCATATGTCGAGAAAAATATGTTATTTACAGGTTTCATATATCAAATGTTTTACGTTTTATATCAGTTTGTGACCTATTTACTGACTCTCTTCGTACGGCACGAACAAGGGAGAGAAGTAGGCCTCATGCCGTGGCTAATTCCATGGAGAAAAGTCCTTCTTGAGACGCTGATTGTCATCCAGCTAGGCAAGAAATTTGAAACACTACGCTATGAAGACGTGTGGGGGAGTGGCTGTATAGAATCACATTTTCCCGACCTCGACACTAGTTGGAGTTGAGTGGTCAGCTTTACGCCCCGGCCGTTTTACCCTCCGCGGAAAGAGCCCGCAGTACCCATTGGAGAGGAGGCTGGGTGGACCCCAAAGCCGGTCTGGACGACGTGGAGAAGAGAAAATTCTTGACACTACCGGGACTCGGAACTCCGACCCCTCGGTCGTCGAGCTCGTAGCCAGTTGCTATACCGACTGAGCTATCCCGGCTTGATTAGAAAAAAGAAGGAAGAACAAAAAAGCAATCTGGACGCTGATGTGCCCGATGTGCTGGGAACTAGTTCTTGTGTGGGTCCTTGGTTGACTTGATCAGACACTTTCACATCAGAATTCTTGAGAACTTTGGAATGAAGTTCCTACGAGTGCAAGTTAATTTCTAACCTTTTAACATATTCTAAGTATTGTGACTTATAGTCCCGTTGCTAAGCATTGACTCTGTAAACAACGGCCGTTGCTAGGTAACGCCCGGAACATGCACGCGACAATAGAAGAACGGTTTTATCTATGTAGTCTGCACCGCGACCGTTGCTACTATGCAACTGCACGGTAAACACCTTTACTACAATAGAGGGGACGTGTTTTCAGCGTGGTCCGCGCCGGGGTGTTATCTTGAAGACAATTGGCTTTGCAGTGTAATTGTGATATATTCGCCGGAGATTAACGACGTCGGCGCGGAAAGCTAAAGAATCTTTACTGTTAGAAGCCTTTGCTAGTAAACGGCTCATGAAGATACAGAAGGCTGGGAAATGCTTAGCAGGTGCTGTGGTGCCGCTGTAATTACTTGTAGTTCCGATTGGTGTATATAAGTGTTCAGTAAATCCATCCGCCATTCCATTCACCGCCAATAATCACGCCCCTAAGCCGTTACAGTATTTTGAGTTTTATTTGTACCGATGGCAAGAAAGTGGTCATGCTAATGGGAACTTTGGTTTTTCGCTTCTCGGCCCAACTTCTGTGTTACATGTTCTACTACGCTGAACATGTCGCTCAGTTTTTACTGTTTGAACGGTCCAGTACTCATCCCTTCTTTACCTGTTACTCTATAACCAACCGAGCAGGTTAGGTCGAGCGGTAATTCCTGCAGGGGTACCCGGTTCCAGTCTCTCAGGAATACACCTGCTGTCCATACTCTGGTGTTCCCTGAACACATACCAGTACAGTAGCTTGAGATAGGCTGTTATAAAGTCTCTCGCGAATCGCGTTCGTTTTACTAATGGACTGAATGGGCGCTAGAGCTCACTAGAGGTGAGCGGTCAGCCGCTCGCCCCTGTCGCTTTACCCCCGGTACCCATCCTACAGGAGACTGGCTGGGCCCAGGAACAGGTCTGGACGCTGTAGAGAAGAGAAACATCTTCCCGTGCCGGGAATCGAATCCAGTCCGTAGTCCGTCGCCCGACTGGACATTACGGAGAGATCTTTTGCTCCTACCGGGAATTGAACCCAACCCCTCGGTCGTCCAGCTCATAGTATAGTCGCTATACCGGTAGCAAGATTAACCCTGCCAAGAATACGGTTTGTCTGCAGTAACTGGACCAACACTGTAAACATTACAGGGCCACGGGGAAGATTTTTGGGTCTAGTTTTTCTGCCAACAGTCCGCCGCTTGTCTCATGTAAAGATAAGGCCCCGGGGGACGTGGAACTGAATAATCTTAACGTGTTTCACGTTCAGTGTTCACTTCGCCGTGACGTATGGCCCAAGTTTTCCCACGCGGGACGGTGCGCCGCCTGTCTCGATAATTCCGCTCTTACTTATAGCGGCTACATTTCCCTGACACAGGCAACTTTCGATGTTTTCGATGCGACATTCCTCGACTTTTCTTCCCCTCCTGAATCAGTTGGCTTCTTGTTTGTATTCTGTAGGTGTCCGGTTCGAATCTCAGACGCACCAGCTGTATGGACTCATGCTTTCATTGTATTCCTCATTTCCTCCAGGGAAATTTTTGGATATTATCTCAAATTAGGATGCAGCCACTTCCTTCCTCGTTAAATCAATCCTAAATCAGTAGATATAGAAAACAGATACCCCAATTGCGCATGTTCTTATAATGGCGGTATCTAATCTGTGAATAGGAGCGCCATTGTGATTACCTGGCAAGGATATGGATGAGAGCAGTACTATCCCAGCATCTGCTATGAAGGACTGAGGAAAACATCGAAAAGCTAAGGATAACCTAAATACTTCTGTTTTTCTAAGATATAACGCCGAGTAATCCGTTGATATTACTTCGATATTTCGGAGGGATATGTCGCCTCCATCTTCAGGGTAGAAGAATATGTAGAGAGTGGAAAATAATGGTCCCGATATATGGAAGGGGCATAGGACAAATAATATATGCGGCATTAAAAAGTGAGTGCACCACCCGTGGTTTGGTACCATTCATGAACTGACACGAGTTTAGTTTGCCCGATGGCTTCGGATTCAAGTAGAGCAGGCTGCAGCCGTGGTGTTGGTTACAATGCTTGTACTCACAAACCCTGTACCTTGTACCGGTACCTTAAAGTTGCGTTACGACACTAACACGTCATTGCGGTGTTTTGGTACCTTAATACTGTTACGTATCTAGGGTTTGTTCTGGATTGAGTGATTGGATTTATTGTCGCCTTATACAGGCACACGGTTCGGGACTACAGGCAACAGCGCTATCGCTATTCTGCACACTTTCCATTTCACCGTTACACACTCAACTAGGGTTCTCAGTCTTCACTAGTCGTATCCTGGCAACGGATTTATAACAGTCCCGCTGTAACTTAGACTGCCACCTCCATAACTCGACCCATTTCTTAACAACAATGGACTCAAATTAACTCTTCTTCAGCTGAACTCTTTCAATTCTTGACAGTTAACCGCTCAAAGTCAAAGTCAAAGTCACATTGCGACTGACGGTCGGTCAGTCTGTCTTGGTGTCGAGCCCCGGCTAGGGCGCATGACCAGATGTTTCTGCTTATATGAAAGTTACTGTCCTGTCCCTTTGGGGCGTCCTCTCTGACGAGAGGTCGGGTCTGTCATTTGTCAGTCATAGTCCGCATTAGTAAGTCCATTGTCAGTATTTACATATATTTACAAATTTAATCTTAATTCCTATTTCTATGTACAATATACAGGGTGTTTCACGACTTTAGGGAATAACTGTAGGAGGTGATTTCCTAGGTTTTTGTGATCAAAAAGTTCATATAAACATGTGTCCGATTTTGGACGGTTACGCAGTTACGACCGTTTTTTCATTCCCGTACACGCCCTCGTGTGAACCGCGTCTGTCAGCTGGCGGGTCGCTATTTTTAGCCAGCTACAGGAAGAGCGTTCTCGTTATCTCGACGAGATGTACCTAAGGCGCGGTTCACAACCGAGCGGCAGCCTGTGTTGCGGCCGGCGGTGGCATTTTCGAAACTCAGCTTTAAGCACCAATAAATTAAAATTAAAGGTAATTTCACGAAGTTAACTTTACATTCATACTTTAAATGTATCATGTATTTTGCTGATTTTTTATTTTGTTCTGTTTATTGTCAGTAATCGTTACCTTCTATTCTGAGTTTAAAACGGTCATAACTCCGTAACCATCAAAAATTGGACACATGTTTATATGAACTTTTTTAGTCACAAATACCTAGGAAATCACCTCCTGCAGTTATGCCCTAAAGTTGTGAAACAAAGCCTCTGTCAGTCCAGGCTCAGTACAGCAGATTATGCCCTATTTCTAGCAGTATTCGCTACCACGGCAGTCTAGTCACTTGAACGGTAGTATGCCTGACAGCCACCAAGTTTAAGCCTCTTGTACTTTCTATGTCGGGCCGGGTTTCAGAGGTCCGACCTGTACACTGAGTTCTTTTCTGGCGATCCGGGACTCAGACTAAAGAGGTGGACACCGCTTATATCACGTTGGGCCGAATCGTAACGCAAATTGGAAAATATGGACACATTTTAGTAAAACTTTCCATGAAAATCTTGAATTTGTTTTCGAGTTGTTTAAACGTTCAAGCAGAGTGATTTTAAAGGCGTTTCTTGGCGTTTGGAACGAACCCAATATAAAATGAATTTATTTTGTTTCCATGGAGAGGAGCTCGGTGTTGCTAGGGGCAACCCCCTGCTTCCAGGAGCGCACCATGTGTGGCGAACTGGGGCTAAACTAATTCTTTCGTGTTACCCCTTCGAATGATGTCGCTATGAAGTCTGTTCCCAGGGAAAATACAAAGACAAAGGAAGTCTACAGGGTCTGTGTGAGGCT